AAGTGCAAGATGTGTATGCATCTGCACGTGTTAAAAACTCCTGCGGAAATACATTTAGTAGAATCATGCTTTGTAATGAGAAAAGGATATGAAGATCTTGTCTTCAAGATGAAAGGAATGTTTTTAAAACAGGGTGTATCCTGTGAGTAAATGCAAAATGTCTGAAGTGTACTAGAAACCCTGGGAGCTTTGATCGAACGCCAGCTGTTACATCAGTTCTCTTGGTAATCTTTCTTGCTTATTTATGACCTTGACCTTGGGTTTCTGTCTGTATGTCAGACCTATTTTAAAGATGGAGAAAGAAATTATGCACCAATATCCCCATGTACACATGTTAGAAACAGGCAATTCCAAGAGAAAGGGGCTGGTTTTGCATGCTACTCATTATTAGAGACTAGGAAATAGACTTTGAAAACTAAAAGAATGCATTTGTGTTACTTTGAAGAAGTGTTAAGGACAGACAGCCTGAAAGCTATTGCCTATGTTACTGTGAAATTAGACTTTAAAAAAAGAAAAGAGAGAAGGACGGGGGAGGGAGGAGGGGAGGGAAGAGAGCGAAAAGAAAAGAAACTGGTGTCACTACCAAAGTAATTTGTTAGTGATTATTTTTTATTATTTCAAGTCTTCTTAAGATAGTTCAGAATTTTATTATATCAGCATAGAGATAATCATTTCCTGTCCTCTCTTTTGCATTTATCTGGGTACTTAAAGATCCTGACTGGTTTGGGTTTTTTTGTTTTGTTTTGTTTTGTTTGCATTTTATTTAGTTTATAACCTTTATGAAATAAGTGAGTATAATTTCATATTTAGCTTTTAAATAAACACAGTTTAAAATATTGTGACTTTCCGAAAATAAATAATTTGAAGGGAATTAAGTGGACTTCAAAACCCTCTCCTTCTATAGAATTCAGTAGGAAAGCCATAAAACATGCCGTTGCGTCTTTTGTACAACTGTTATGCCGGCATACCCTTCTGGTCAAAGTGCCACTTACTTTGTCAACTACAATTTAGTAAACTGCTTGGAATCGTGATGATAAATCCAGCCTGTGATGAACGCTTGAGTTAGTCAAGCAAGTTACTTCTCCCATGGAAGCTTTTTAAGTGGGGAATTTAAGTGACTGATTTAAACCTGTGCAAGCCCCCAATAGGGATAAAGCCAGGGACCGGAAATGAAGAAAAAGTAGAGTCTTGGGCCAAACACCCACTCCCCACCCTTGAGGGTGGCTTTTAAGTTTTAATTGCTTTGAGCAAACTGATTTCAATAAGTTCATTTTGGAGGGGTGCCCATTAAACATCCAACCACTCATCTAACTTTTGATGAAGTTAGCACTGCAAAGAAAGTTTTGGTGCCTTTACCTCCCACTTGTTACATCCAGGTTATAAAGTATCTCAGGGGGATGCTTGTTCTACTCTTTTTGAAGTTTTTGGGTGTTATCATTTTGTTTTGTTTTGTTTTTTACCCAGCAACATCCTCCTGTTGGATTTATAGTGGAAGAGTCACTGTGGTCCTCCCTTCTTAGTAAAGGGTTAGGATCCTTATCTCAAGTGCTTTCTCTTTCTTGCTCTGTAAAATTGTTGAGCTTTCCTCTTGCAGTTCCTCATGGACTGGGTTGGAAAAGCATTGTCAACCTCTGGATAGTGTTACATGCTGTGGTGGTTCCCTCTGATTTTCAACTTTTGAAATTTCCTTTCTCAGTCAATAAACAGGACTTTGGGATGTTCTTACTACTTTTTCCTTTTTACATTAATACTTCATTAAATACTGTAATGTACTTTTTTAACCCTTTGTCTAGAAAGACCCTTCAAGGGACCCACAGTATAATGCACAATAGATAATGTTGTCAAAATAGTTACTCTTGAGTGGCATAAGGAAGTAATCCTTGAACCCTTCTATATTTTTAGGAACTAAAGCCAAGAATCAAAAAAAAAAAAAAAAAAAACTTCAGTGCAGAAATTTCTTGAAATTTAATACTCAAATAATTATGGTTTGACAATGAAGAAATTGGGAAATTTTCATGGAAGCAAGTGGAAGTTATTCCTTAGACTTACTTTAAATAGCATGCTCTGTGACATCATAGATATCAAATCATTTAAGTGTGTTTGTAATGGAGAATTTGATTGAAAGAAAGATATTGAATCTAAAAGCAACAAGATAATAATATTATTTATCTTCAACCAAAAGTAAGAGAGAATATAAAATCTAGCTACTTGAAGGAAGCAATACTGTACCTATTCCAAGAATGGGATGTAAACTACTTACATCCCTTATAAAACACACACATGCACACACATGCACCCTTCGCCCTAACTTCATACTTTTCAGGTACTTTGTTAAATACAAAAATACATCCCTTTTGAAAATAAACTCTTAAGTTCAAACATTGATAGTTGTTTCCTTAAAGCATCTGTGTGTTGAAATAGCTAAAGAGCCAGTAAAGTTTATTTCATAAGGAAGATCTAAAAGATATTTTATGCTTATAAATGCTTTCATAATAATAAAAGCAGACTATAATGTACAATTTTAATACTGTTGAATAACAGACATGAACTACATTAAATTTCTGTGAAGTGGAGTAGCCCCTGGAACACTATCATGGTTCTTTAGACCCAGCTTTAGTTTTCAAAGCTTATATAAAAGAATATGAATTAATTGATAATCACTTTTAAAGTTACAGTCGTGTATGTCTGTGTGCATGTGGTGCTGAGGATCAAACCCAAGGCCTTGGGCTGTTCCTTGTGCATCTGAGGCAAGTATTTAGCACTGGACTTTATTTCATCCTAGGAACGTGTTCATAATAGAGTATAATATTGTATTTTGTTGTTATCATATACAAATTCAGTGGCGCCTTCTATGCCAACTTTTATAAGTTTTCTTTTAAGGATTTTTCCATTTTGCTGTTACGGAAATGGTTTGGAATTTTTGTTGATGCTGTGTTGAAATATCAGAGCAACCAACTTAAGAACAGAGATTTAGGCTTCCTTAGCTCACACTTGGGAAGGTGTCAGTCTGCTGGGTGTAGAACAGCTCACATCTCGGTGGACAGGGAGCAGAGACTGCGCTGAGCTTTGTCTTTGTTCTGCTTTTATTCCACCTGGGGTCCTCCCCTCCAGGTGGCTCACCTCACTTGGTTAATCCTCTCTAGAAATAATTGTTCTCACGGGTGCACCCAGGGATGAGCTTTACTGATCTGGGTATTTCTCAATCTCACCAAGATGATGAGATGAACCATTACAGCAATTCATTACACTTAAAAAGACAAAAGGATGATAATTGAGTCCCCAACAAGATCAGGCAATCCTGAAATGTCTTCACTATTCAAAGCAGACCAGTTGTGTAACACATTATGCTGCCTCATCTTGCAGAATATAAAAAATCTGCAAGATCATACTTGTATACTCATATTTAAAAGTTTTTATTAAGCACAAGTCATAATGCAACTTTTTTTTTCATTTTCTGTCCAGCATGTGTTACTCTGAAAACTTTCAACAGCCAATTATGCTGAGTAGAGAGCAGAAAACTTTGCCTTAAAAACTGGTAAATATTTTTCATTCTTAGATTATCTGTAACTGTGGTGACCAATCAAACAAATGACCCTCATTTTCAATCCTCTCTTTCCTTCCATTTTGTCTTGAACCTGCATTTGACATTTTTCCACCTAATAAAGAGTCTCACATGAATTTTAGTTACTCGACATCTTGAAAGTTTGAAAGATGCTCTCGGCATCCCGGTGGACAGAATGGGTTCTGACTTTATGATAGTAAAACCACGGAATGATGATGTCCTTCCCCTTGAGTAAATCTTTGGAAAACACTGTATTTCTTGTGATATTTAGGCTACAATTGTTTACTCCTTTTTACTTGAATTTGAGAAAATCTACTTAGACATTATATCTGAACACATTAGTCAAGGTGTGTCTTGTCAATGGCATGTCTAGGAGTCTTTGTTTTCAGCTTCTGGTTCATCTAATGGAAATCAACCTTTTTCAACTTTCTTTAATATTTTGGGCAGGATATGAAAAATATTTTAAATGAAATTTTTTATTAAAATTTTCACTTAAAAATTTAAAGCATTGTACCATATTTTTTGAATCATGTTTACTGTTTAAAAGTATCTGTATTCATTGGGGATATAAAAAAAAAATAGAAAGGCTAGGGAGAAGAGGACTTTCTTTGTATTGAGGCTGTTGTGGAAATGTGGGTAAAGGCTCACCTTGCCCAGTGCTAGCGACCCCTATCCCAGCTTCTCTTTTTCATGTCTCTCCACAATCCTAAAACAGATCTCCATGCAGACCTGGACTTGAGAGTTGTGTTGTACTGATTTGTGAAAGGAATAAAGTGAATGCTCAGGGCGGCTGTTTCCTGTTAGTCCTCTGTGATGCAAATGATGTTGCAGTGTTACAGTCTCAAAGTTGTGATGCAGCCTTTTAGGTTCCCATTTAACCGAGCTTCAGAGGGCAAGAACGTGTGTATGCAGGCTTGTTTCAAGAACTATTTTCCTCTCTAGAATTCATATATGAAGTTTTGCGTCCAGTGTGCTGTGTATACAAGTTATAGTTAGCATAGACCTCAACCAGAAGGAGCACAGTGGAGGAACTTTTATATGTCATTTTGTGTCCCTAAAGTTAAACATTCAGCTTGATTTCTGATTTAGGAAATGATTATTATTAACCTGTCACATAGCTTTTCTGGTAAGGTAGGAAATAAACAATGAGACGAGTAAACGAATGTCACTGTACAATGTTGGAGCCTGTTTGCAAACTATGCTAAGTCTGATCACACAGATGTTCATGAGTCCTTATCTCATGCTTCAGTTGCAATGAAGTGTTTTTAGGGCTACTTACCTACAAATCACATATCAAATGGATGTGACTTGCATGTGTATGTGTACATAGTGTATATATGGAATTGATATGCATAAACTTATGCTATATTCTGTTCCTTAAGGTAATAAGCATGACTCCAGTTCTGTACCTCAACTGTTTTTGTTTATATATTTTTAGATACTGGTGTGTGCCTTTGGTGAGCAACAAAAGATGAAGAAAGAACAGTATCTTCCCTAAGAAGCATTTCCTGTGTGCCACTGCATACCACGGAGTTACGCAGGGGACTTTGCGGCTGCTCCTTGCCTAGCCTGTGATCAGTCCTGTGGTCTGCAGTGGAGTTTGCCTGCCTTTTAGCTATCACTGCCAGATGATATCGTGGTCAGAATGTAACAGTGCATTGCTCTCTGACTGCTATGGAAGGTGATCAACTGACAATAATTTCCTGAAGTCTGATCTTACAGACAAGAAAACCATCTTTAAAGTGAATAGAAGCCAAGCCCCTGTGAGCACTTTTATTGAACATGACTCATGGAGAAGAGCTTGGCTCTGATGTGCATCAGGATTCTATTGTTTTAACTTACCTAGAAGGATTACTAATGCATCAGGCAGCAGGGGGATCAGGTACTGCCGTTGACAAAAAGTCTGCTGGCCACAACGAAGAAGAGCAGAACTTTACCATCTCTGGCAGTGCGTTTCCCACCTGTCAAAGCAATGGTCCCGCTCTCAGTACACATACGTACCAGGGATCTGGCATGCTGCATCTCAAAAAAGCCAGACTGCTGCAGTCTTCTGAGGACTGGAATGCGGCAAAGCGGAAGAGGCTGTCTGATTCCATTGTGAATTTAAACGTAAAGAAGGAAGCTTTGCTAGCTGGCATGGTTGACAATGTGCCTAAAGGCAAACAGGATAGCACATTACTGGCCTCTTTGCTTCAGTCATTCAGCTCTAGGCTGCAGACTGTTGCTCTGTCACAGCAAATTAGACAGAGCCTCAAGGAGCAGGGATATGCCCTCAGTCATGATTCCTTAAAAGTGGAGAAGGATTTAAGGTGCTACGGCGTGGCCTCAAGTCACTTAAAAACGCTGTTGAAGAAAAGCAAAACCAAGGATCAAAAGTCAGGTGCCACCCTCCCTGAGGTAGCTCCAAACCTCATCAGAGATAGCTTTGTGGAGTCACCTCATCATGCGGGGCAGAGCGGAACAAAGGTCATGAGTGAACCCTTGTCATGTGCCGCAAGACTCCAGGCTGTTGCCAGCATGGTGGAGAAAAGGGCCAGTCCTGCCACCTCCCCCAAGCCCAGTGTTGCCTGCAGCCAGTTAGCACTGCTCCTTTCGAGCGAAGCCCACCTGCAGCAGTACTCTCGGGAACATGCTCTCAAAACACAGAGTGCACATCAGGCAGCAAGTGAAAGACTCGCTGCCATGGCCAGACTGCAAGAAAATGGTCAGAAGGACATAAGCAGCTTCCATCTCTCCAAAGGGGCATCTGGCCATCTCAATGGGCAGGCCAGAACATCGTCATCATCCAGCAAGCTGGTGGCCAACAAGACTAGCCCTCCAACATTTCAGAATCCAGTAGGCGTTGTTCCTTCTTCCCCCAAAAATACGGGCTATAAGAACTCACTGGACAGAAACAACACAAAGCAAGCTGCTAATAACAGTTTGCTTTTACATCTTCTCAAAAGCCAGACCGTCCCCACGCCGATGAATGGGCACAGCCAGCATGAGAGAGGAAGCAGTTTTGAGGAGAGTAGCACTCCCACCACCATTGATGAGTACTCTGACAACAATCCCAGCTTTACAGATGACAGCAGTGGAGACGAAAGCTCATACTCCAATTGTGTTCCCATAGACCTGTCTTGCAAACACCGCATTGAAAAACCAGAAGCCGACCGGCCTGTCTCCCTTGAGAACCTAACTCAGTCCTTGTTAAACACCTGGGATCCAAAAGTCCCCGGTGTTGACATCAAAGAAGATCAAGATACCTCAACAAATTCCAAGCTGAATTCACACCAGAAAGTCACACTTCTTCAGTTGCTACTTGGCCATAAGAGTGAAGAAAATGCTGAGAATGCCAGCCCTCAGGAAGTCCACAGTGACGTGACTAAGTTCAGTCCGCAGAATTACACGAGGACTTCTGTCATCGAAAGCCCCAGTGCCAGCAGGACTACCCCAGTAAGCACTCCACCCCTGCATGTATCCACCAAAGGAGAGTCTCCCATCAATCTTTCTCAGCACTCTCTGGTCATCAAGTGGAATTCCCCACCATATGCCTGCAGTACTCCCACTTCAAAACTAACAAATACCATGGCTAGCCACTTGATGGACCTCACAAAAAGCAAAGAATCACAAGGAGAGAAACCAGCCCCCAGTGAAGGTGCACAAAACTCAGCAACGTTCAGTGCCAGTAAACTGTTACAAAATTTGGCACAGTGTGGAATGCAGTCTTCCTTGCCCACAGAAGAACAGAGACCCAGCAAACAGCTCTTAAGTGGAAATACAGATAAACCTCTCGGTATGATTGATAGATTAAATAGCCCTATGCTCTCAAATAAAACAAATGCACTTGAAGACAACAAAGCCTTCAGCAATCAACCAGCAGGACCTGAACCAGGGCTTCCTGGTTGTGAGATAGAAAATCTCCTAGAAAGACGCACTGTCCTCCAGTTGCTCCTGGGAAACTCCAACAAAGGGAAGAGCGAGAAGAAAGAGAGGATTCCTTTGAGAGATGGAGCTATTCAGGAGCATTCAGATAAAGCTGGAAGTGAGCAGATACTGACGGTGAAAATCAAATCTGAGCCTTGCGATGACTTTCAGATTCACAACCCGAATGTGCATTTAAACCATGATAGCAAGAGCACCCCGTTCTTAGGTGTGACTCCCACCGTGCAGAGGGGCACGACAGCCTTACCAGTGTGTGAAGACTTCAAATCAGAGCCCGCTTCACCTCAGGATTTTTCTTTCTCAAAGAACGGTCTGTTAAGTAGATTGCTGAGACAGAATCAAGAGAGTTACCCAGCAGATGACCAGGACAAGAGTCACAGAAATAATGAGTTGACACCCCTGGAATCAAAGAACTTTTGCATGGTCCCTAAGAAAAGGAAGCTTTATACAGAACAACTAGAAAATCCATTTAAAAAGATGAAAAATAGTGCTGTAGATACTGCCAATAATCACAGTGCCCCGGAAGTACTCTATGGGTCGTTGCTTAATCAGGAAGAGCTGAAATTTAGCAGAAATGATCTTGAATATAAGTATCCTGCTGGACATGGTTCCACCAGTGATAGTGAAAATAGAAGTTGGGCCAGAGAGAGCAAAAGCTTCAATGTTTTGAAACAGCTGCTTCTCTCAGAGAACTGTGTGCGAGATCTGTCCCCACACCGGAGTAACTCTGTCATCGACAATAAAAAGAAAGGACACAAAAACAATGTGCTCAATAGCAAAAAAGAAGAATTCAGCATTTCTTCTTTAAATGGACTGATGTATAGTTCCCCTCAGCCTGGCAGTTGTGTGGATAATAGGACATTTTCATACCCAGGAGTGGTAAAAACTCCTCTGAGCCCTCCTTTCCCAGAGCACTTGGGCTGTGTGGGGTCCAGACCAGAACCGGGCCTTTTGAATGGGTGTTCCATGCCCATGCCCAGCGAGAAGGGACCCATTAAGTGGGTCATCACAGATATGGATAAGAGTGAGTATGAAAAAGACTCCCCAAGACTGACCAAAACTAACCCAATACTCTATTACATGCTCCAGAAAGGAGGCAGCTCTGTTACCAATCAAGAAACACAGGACAAAGAAATCTGGAGGGAGCCTTCGTCTGCCGAGGGCATCTCACAGGTTACAGTCAAAGAAGAGTTCCTTTCTGCTGCAGAAACTAAAGCGTCTTTCTTTAATCTAAGAAGCCCTTACAATAGCCATATGGGAAATAACGCTTCTCGCCCACACAGTACAAATGGAGAAGTTTATGGACTTCTGGGAAACGTCCTCACAATAAAAAAAGAGTCAGAATAATGTATACCTGCCATACCATTTTGGATCTTTTTTTAAAATTAATCAGTATGAACTTGAGATCTGTATAAATAAGAGCATGATTTGAGAAAAGCATGGTATAATTGAAACTTCTTCATTTTGAAAGTATTGGTTATTGGTGATGTTTAAATATGCATACTAATTTTTGCCTAACATTAGATGTCATGAGGAAACTACTGAAGTAGAAGTTGGTTGTTTAATACTTCTGTATGCATCAGATAACAACTGTGAGTAGCCTACGAATGAAACAGTTTTATAATAGTAAATAAGAGGCATACATTAAAATGCAAATCTCCATCAATAGTGGATTGATGCAATTTGCTGTTGTTATTAGGGTACTTCATTTTCGCATCTCAGAAGTCAGCCTACATACATGTTTTTAAACTCCAAATTGTTACCTGTTTGAAAGATAATCAAATTAAGAAAAAACCAGAAGCCTTGGGCTGATTCACACCTCTCAGTTCAAAAGTAAGAAAAAGTAATGCTTACATTTTTCACTTTTGCTAAATGAAAATTCTTTTTAACTCTTGGAAGGGGTTTTGCGGTCCCCAATGTGTCTGCTCCACCCCAGACCTTTTCAATATATATTTCTTTAAACCTTGTACTATTTAGTAAAAATTGATTATAACAGAGGGGAGTTTAATATCCTTAAAAGGCAGATTTCCATTTTTTTATATTTTGACTACTTTACTAAATTAATACTCCTCCTTTTACAAAATTAGGGACGGTAATATTCATCTTCAGGCAGTTTCCTGAATAATTGACTACTTAGAAATAGTTTTTAAAAAAAGCAAGCATGGATTTTCTTTAGGTGGTTTTCACCATGTCTGGTGAAAGTTAATTCTCATCATTCCTGTGGTACCTGTAAGTCTTATGACCAGGATTTCTTAATTCTGGACACAGAAACTGCATTAGCACTATCTAGAGCAGTTGTGTAAAATGCAGATTCATAGGCAACATCTCAGGTCTACAGAACGGGTCTGTGAGTGGACCTAGGAGTCTCTGCCTATATCCTGACATGTTCTGTATGTGTTTCTTCTGCATACTGATGTTTGAAAACCATGCCATATGACTTTTCCAGAACATAGGACTTTAAAGAAACTATTGATGCCTATTTTTTTCCCCAGCACAGTCACCCATCCACTCAAAATTTGCAATATTGTAATTCCTATATTGCTGTTATATCTTTGGAAATCGGGTTCAGAATACTTTTTATGACAAAAAAAAAAAATGGGTAGAAGGGACAACTTTCCTAACTGGGTCAACATCTCAGGAAAATCTGTGATTATTTATTTGTTCTAATTAGTAACATTGACTTAATTAGCCTTAGAGGTGGAATAACAGGGCCACTTAGCAAACTCAGGTGATCCCAGGATGGTTGGGAAACTTCTCTCGAATACATCCTTAACCTTCTATCCAAACCATCCTTTGCACAGCAGTGCTTCTGAAGCTAGCAGATTCAACCCAAGGAAGGTATCAAACTCAGATTACCTGACACCAAATCAAAGGGCACTCATTATCCATAACAGGACCTACGCCTCACTTTACAGGATCGATTTATTAGAAACAGGCATTAAATGTAAACACTGATACTGTCTTGGAAGACTTAATATCTAATTGAGCCAGGTGGAATTTCAACCTTGAAGCAAGTTGGTTTTTAAGTTCAGTTTTTATAGCCCACAGTTCATCCACCAGACAATGTTTTGTTTTCAATGTTGAGCCAGGTTAGCAACCGACTTACCAAAAGAAAAAAGAAAAAAATATTGGGTACTCAGCAATTAGGTAGGAAGAAGTTTATTTGAAGTTGTACGTACTTGAAATTGTTTCTAAGATTTTTTTATATCAAAAAATGGACATTATTTCTTAATTATCTAAAATTCTAAATGATTATTTTTTTCTCAAGCTGATTTGTAAATAGTTAATGGATATGCTATATGGTGATCGGAGTGTATATTACGCTATGTCAGAGAAAGGAGAAGGCATATATTTAGTTTGCTATGAAAACTTCCACTGGCCAGTGAAGATCTTTTACTCCATGTCCATACTGTGACAATCTCCTTGTCTACACTATATCAATAAGCTTTACACTAAGTCATTTTTCTTGGTCATTGTGAAAGGGCTGGAGCCTTAGAAATTTACTGTAGGATGCTAATGCTTGTCCTCAGTTGGAGGCAGTAGGCATCTTGAGTGGCACATAGGTCAGGAAAACATCCAGAGCCAGCATTGCTTTGCTTTGTTTTGTTTGTTTTGTTTTGTTTTTTGTTGGAATGAGAATATGTAATTCAGAAATAAATATGACTATAAAGAATGCTGTTCTGACTTACTAAAGTATATCCCCCACATTGAGTTTAAAGAAATATTAGAGAAGAGAAAGGGCATACACCCACAAATTCACTTTGTTTGCATATGTAGATTCAAATATGCACACATACACATTTTCAAGGAGTATTTTCGATATCTAGTTGGTTTCTTCCTAATAAAGTCATTTGTGAATGGGTACTACAGCTCTCATTGACATCAGTAAGGTAGCATTACCTGTTTATTCTCTGTTACATCTTAACAGAAGAATAAACTGGTGAGAATATATATTTTCTATATATATATATATATATAATGTGTATATATATATATATTGACTTGTTACATGAAGATGTTAAAATTGGTTTTTAAAGGTGATGTAAATAGTGATTTCCTTAATGAAAAAAAAAACATATTTTGTATTGTTCTAATGCAACAGAAAAACATTTTAATTTCTTTGGTTCCTGTATATTCCATGTATTAAGTGTAAATATAATCAGACAGGCTTAAAAAATGTGCATGTATGTATACAGTTGCAAGTCTGGACAAATGTATAAAATAAACCTTTTATTTAAGTTGTGATTCCCTGCTGCATGAAGCGTGCATGGGGAGCCCTGTGCATCTGTGCACTTGACAAAGATGTCTTCACAAGTCAGATCAGACGTCCATCCCAACATGACAGTATTCCGTTTCTGGACATGACCTCTGTGGCTTATGCTTTGTGAGAGAACATGCTTTCAATCCAATGGTCTTAATTTTCTTTTTTAATCAACCACTTTTCAACATAGAATTCACACGCCAACTTCACAGATCTGAAAATCCCACTGGAAGCGTAACCAGGAATAGTCCAGTGTTCCTCAATGCTGGAGCACAGGCACGTTACCATTCATGGTAACAATGTTGGCACTTACAGCCAGTTTTGATGCAATCTGCTTAGTGATATAATTTGCCATTTTTATTATTAAATTTGATTTCTTTATGTGATGTCATGAATTGTACATACTGCAGTGTGAATTTTTTGTTTTTTTAAATCTTTTAGTGTTTACTTCCTGCAGTGAATTTGAATAAATGAGAAAAAAAATGCATTGTCTCTAACTTGAAATGACTTATTTTTGTGGGCTTTCTCTGGTTTTTAGGTTTTCCATCATTGTTAAAGTCCCAGGTCATAAAGAAAAAGGAAAAAAAAAACAAAAAAATGAAAAGAAAAAAGCAATAGATCATGTATTTTGTCTGTCTCAGAAAAAATGAAGGGAAAAAATAAGCAACTGAACAAGTTAGTATATTTAGAAACATGTACTTAAAGCATAGCTAAAAATGACAGTTGGCTGTGGTCTGTCTTCCATTTCTCAGTATGTAATTGAATGACCACCACATTTTTTTTAAACTGGAATTTGTACAGTGTTCCAAAATAAAGTTAATTAGATACATATACTTTGTCTTAAGATTTTTATCAGGGGCTTGTATTTCATCTTTTATGCGTTGTTTGTTTTAAATGCAATAAAAGCTTTGGATCACTTTCCGAATATGTCTAGGAGAAGAGTTCAGCTTGGCAAGCCCTATCCATGTGTGATTGGTAATAGAGACTGTTACTTCATGTTCGTATGTGCAGTAGGAAAGGCTGAGCCCAATGTTTCTACCTGCCTCATGTTCCACTACCGAGCTATATTCCCAACCCTATTTTTAATTTGTTTTGAGACAAGGGCTCACTAAGTTGCCTTAAGGTTTCCATGAACTAACTTTGTACTCCACACAAGCTTTAAACTTGGTTTCTTGCTTTGGCCTCCTAAGGAGCTAAAATGTATAGATCTGAGCCCTCAGACCCAGCTAAGAACAGCTTATTTAGGGAAAAACAGAAAAATAAACCCTTGTTGCTCTTACAGTCTGATGTATTTTAATGGCTTATACTTTCGTATGGCTTGCTGGTAATTAAGGAGGGAAGCATTTGCCCAACAACAAATTCTATCTCCGTATAATTTCAGCAGGTATGCTCAGGCTTATAGGTGTTTAGGCTGAGGTACAGCTCAGTGGCAGAGCCTTCTCTAGAGCTCTTCAAGGCCCACCTTGCTGTTGTACACTATCTGCACAATGACAGATTGCAGCTTACTGTATACATACATGGTGAGTTCAAAATGAGAGGTGGGGAACCATGTTTTTATTTACATGGTGAGAAAGCCTAGGTGCATTGCCTGAGATGGATTTTTAAAAGAGCCACCAGTTAATTTTTTTAACTAAATACTTGTGCCTTTGATATGAAGAATCTTCAAAACCAAATTGAGTTAGAATTACCCATGTTATGCAAGGTTCTGTTTTATGCTTATTGGTGTAGGAATATCAAGAATAAATTGAAACTTCATTTCCTGCCACTGGGATCACTAAACTGACCTGTCCAGCTACAGAAAATAGATTTTAAATATTAAGTTGGTAAACGTTCTCTACCTTTCTGGGTTTTCTTCCAAACTTTGTAGGCAGACTGACGCTGTGCTGTCTCTTAAGGATTGCTATTCTGTTGACAGTAGGTAGCACTGAGCTAATACTCTAATTCTGTAAGTAGTTAATGCAATACTATTTACATTTGTAAGATGCTGTCTTCTGGATTTGGTTAAAGACCCTTGCTTCAAAAGTCAGTACTCCTGAGCTAGCAGAATAAGTGTAAATAATCTTAAAATCCCGTAAGTTTTGCCACACTTGATCCCCTCCTATGAGAATATAATAGTAAATATAGTGGAGTTTTTGAGCCTTTTTGCACTTTTTTTTTTTTTTTTTTTTTTAATGACATGGAGACCCCGAAAACTGCTTTGTGCCTCTTGGTTTTTCTAAATATAATGGACACATTCCCCAGACTTTGAGAAAGCTTCAGTCTGTTTTGTTTTTTTTGTTTTTTGTTTTTTTTTTTTCTTATACTTTTGACCTTTGAGAGCACTGTACCAGAGGAAACACTGTGCAGGTATGGACCCTGTGCTTGGAAAGCTTTGGGAACAGGGCCATAGAGAAGAGGGCTGGTAGAGGTTTATTGCCTGAGACTGTTTAATTCGAAGACAACAGTGGGATGGTTTTCAGATAATCAGAAAACACGTTTACCTAGAGGCGGAAGGCTTTCCTCAGAAGTTTCTACAGGGTTTGAATAACCCATTGATTGTAGTAGCCAGCTTTATGCTATCTTAAAGTGTACCTGCTTGCTGCTTTGCCTCTATCCTGGTTTTGTTTTTGTTTTTTGCATTTGCTTATATTCATCTTTCACAGTCACATTGTGCCTTTGAATAGGATTGTTTCTGGGGGAGAAAGTAGGAGACATCTTCATTCTGTCCCAAATCATAATGTCATACATAGTCTCTGTGCTGCTTATCTTTATGTTAGCTTGACACAGGCTGGAGTCACCTGAGAGGAGGGAATCCGAATTGAGAAAAACACCTCCATAGGATCAGGCTCTAAGCAAGCCTATAGAGTATTAAGTGATTGATGTGAGAGGGAAGGGCCCAGACCATGTTGGTGGGTCCACCTCTGGGCTAAGTCAGCCATGAGGAGCAAGCCAGTAAGCAGCACCCATCTGTGGCCTCTGCATCAACTCCTGCCTCCTGGTTCCTACACTGTTTGAATTCCTATCCTAACTTCCTTTGATGATGAACTATAATATGTAAGTATAAGCCAAATAAACCCTTTTCTCCTCAAGTTGCTTTGGTCATGGTGTTTCATCACAGCAATAGTAACCCTAAATAAGAAACCTTCAAAAACCAAATTGACATGCTTACTTTTGCTTCTTTCTCAAACTCTTAACTATGTATAAGTCTCTCGTTTACCTCACCTTGGGGCAAAGCGTCATTTGCTTATTTAAACAGAGTGCTAAAAACTAAACATGTTAAGAAGACTGAGTCTAGTCATCAGGAGCTTGTCCAGTGTATGTGAGGAATGTTTCATCTTCCATAAATAAGTTGTGAACTTTCAGCTAAGGCTTTTCCCTTTTCCTAATTGTTTTCTTCCTGCCAACAAAACTAAAATTTCCTTTACAAGATCATGGCTTTGGATTTGATAGCATCTCTTACCCCCACTATACATTCTAAAAGCTTTAAAGGTATGGTGGGCATTTACTGTAAAGCCTTTTAGGGGGAAGAGAGTGGCAGGGTCTTATGGTGTAGCGCTGTACTCAGGGCAAAGTGCAGGCTAGCCTTCAGTTTGCAGCGACCTAGCTTCATTACCCTAGGGCCAGGGATTACAGGTGTGAGCCACCACTCCCTGCACATTTTTTATTTTCCAATGGCAGGTGGTTAGAATATAAAAAACAAGTATCTCCCATTCCTTCCCCTTCCAATAACACACAGACACTTGTATATCTTACATAGAGTCTAAAATAAGGTCTCACATACATAGCTCTGATAATCTGCAAGGAGGGTGAAGTAGCTTAGGGTGTAACAGGCCCAAACCAAACATTGTTATCTGTTCAGGCTTTCACTTCCACAGGCAAATGTACCAATACCTTGCCTTGCCTAGTTTAATGCTAATAAAGGTAATTACAATCATCTTTCTAGCATGAAGAGTGTGATGTGAGGGTTTTGAGAGTCCTTTGAGACCACTTGCCACTCATAAAATGTTATGCTGTACATATCATTGTCGGCTCCTCTGCCAGTGGACTAGGACCCTCTAAAGGGGACATTTCGTGTTCTCTTTGGAAACACATGCTTAGGAAAAAATAGCTACACGAGAGAGGTAGTCCTGACCTGCTTTTCATAATGTGCTGGGAAGTCTATAATGTCTTCAATGGTCTCCAGAAATTAAAGATCACCCAGTCAGAAACCTGGCAACAAGAGAAAGAAACAGCAAGTTCTCTTCCTACCTCCAGTCCTAGCCTGGGAGAGCTGTGGACATGAAATCTCTATGGTTTTATTACCCAGTCCCTCTCAGTCCTCTTCAGAATGCTAACAGCATATCTGTACAACACTGTCTGCCATTGAGACCCCTACCTATATCTAATTTCAGTCATGCTTCATCTTGTCTTTCAAGCATCTCAGATTTCACGTTCCTTCTAGTCACCCAGCCTTCCTAAGTTTGCCTGTTTCCTCTAACATATCTATCTATCTAGTGTGGCATTTAGTGTGTGTTGTGGGTTATTAATATTTACTATTATCTTTAGTTATGCAGCAGTTATTTCTAAACCAGCTGTATATCCAAATGACCACACAGAGATTAGGATTTATTTAATTACCCTAGAGCACAATGCTGAGCAATAGTTATTCCATCCTAAACCCCCAAGCACACATAGTTTCCTACCATTCAGAGTTTACCCATTATACTTGCTTTTAGTCATATCTTAGGTCCAGTTCATCTCCCCTCGTGGTTCAAAGTCCTCTCCTGCTGATTCCTGCTCTCCTATTCCTCCCCCCTCACTTCCTTTTCTTCCCCTCCAAACCAGGATGTCCCACCTTGTTCTCACCATTGTACAGCATTGGCTGGTTGTTTAATTGACAATACAGAGAACAAATGGTGGCATGTTTACATAAACTTGAGACAGATGATGCTTAGAATAAGCATCACAATGTAATGTCTGGCTTGAAACCAGATAGTGGGGTAGAAAAATCAGCATTTAAATGAACAATGGTAAACTGTATGCATTCCATAAAAACATGTAACAAGTGTGCATGCTTTCTCCCAGTTGGTTCTAACAATCCTTTTCCATGTTGGAAAACTGTGTCTCAAAATTGTGTTCCTCCGAAGCTTTGGCTTAGGGCCACTATGATTCATCTGATATTTCCTTAAGTTTTTGCTTCCAACCCATCACCTGGGCCATCATTCTGAACTTTATCACATATCTCAAGTTTCCAACATCTGCTTGGCCTTCCTCCTCTCACTCTCTCTAAATACATTCTAGTTCAAAAGTTTAAGAACCCACTGTGCTATTCAAGCAAAACTGGATGACAACTGAAGCCTAGTGCAAGTTCAGTGACATGATTTTTAGTATCCAAGCCTCAGATTTTCAGCCCTGTCTGCATTTCAACTTTCCCATCCTTCGCCATCTTTCTCGATCATGCAAATGAGAAACTTTGCAAATGACTCACTGTCTCTGAGCGCTCCTGCCTTCTTGCCATTGGTACCTCAGTCCTTTACCA